AGGGTTGTACCACACAACCTCGCCGTGCCGTAGTTACCTTAGCCAAATGTATCTGTTGAATGGTTTTGTAAGGGCCGTAAAGACGTAGCTAGCTCTACAACCATTAAGAATTAAGTTAGAAACTCTTTAATCTTTCCAGTAGAACCTTCATCATGAATTTCTCTTTCAGCCGTGTAGTTTTTTTCTTTTTTCTTTTTAGTTTCGGTTTAATAATTTCTTTCTAAACTGATAACTTTCTCTTACCCCCCCCCCCCCTCCCAACCCCCACACACCCCATACCCTATTGAATATTCATTTTAACGTTTTAGCAACATAAGCTGTTTCAGCCCTAGAGTTTTTTTTTTTTTTTTTTTTTTTTTGGGGGGGGGGGGGGGGGGGGGTTTAAACCTGCTACTAATTTACAAAATATAAACTGAGAGGGAGGAGGGGGCTAAACCTGCATATACCTTACGAGACCGACCCCCTTATCGATACAACATACATCACAAAATAATTTTAGAACATACTTTTGTTTAATTAAATAAAAATTTAAAAATACAAACACAGGCTTTTTTAGCATTTGATTGGACTAATTTTTGCTCAACTATTTTACCCAATACTTCTATCAACATATGGTTTGCAGTAGCTATGTAAGGTAATTATGTAATGAAATTAGACCCCCCCCCCCCCCACTCCAACCTGAAGGCAGTATCAGTCATACTGTTTCTAATATAAAATCTCCACCCACTACCCACACTATCGTTACTTTTTCTACAATTAATTTACCTTTTTTTAAAAAAAAACAAAATGGCGTCTTGTTTTGTCACGTGATTTATAAATCCTAGCACCAGAAGTGGTGTATCAATATTTACATGAACAAGTCAAGCCACGGGACTCGGTTATTGCCCTTGACTGTCGTACGTCAGACTAAAACGGAAGTGATTAGCGCCGCGTTAATTACCAATCGACCTATTGATTAGGGCTAATCGCAAAAAACTTTCTTCGCTTACATTTTCAAATACGAATTTATTTCTTTGTTAGTCTTGTGCGCACGTTTGACACAGTGGGGTGGTGGTGGGGGGGGGGGGGGGGAATGGAGAGGCAAGTTGGTACTTGCGGGGGAGGGGGGTGGGCGGACTTAAGTTTCCGGTGGTAAAAGTAAACATTTTCGATAAATTTCGATTTCCTTTGAGGGGTGGGGGGGTGGGGATGGACTTGCTTTCGGGAGGGGGTTTTACCTTCTCTCCCCCCCCCCCCCCCCCCCAGAGAGTTGATTTTTTTTTTAAACTGTCATTTTTTAGAGCTGTAGTTTGATATCATTGCTTTACACCAGGGGTCTCCAAACTTTTTAGTCCGAGGGCCGCGTTAACTATCAAATTTCAGTTCGGGGGCCAGTTTCTTCCAGGTGTGTCTTTGATTTTTCTGGCCAAAGTTCCTCAGCCATCACCAACAAACGATTTTTTCTTTGGACAAAAAAATCTCCGCGGGCCGGATGAGAGGACTTCGCCGGCCGCATCCGGCCCGCGGGCCGTAGTTTGGAGACCCCTGCTTTACACGATACATTAAAAAATATATTCCTTTATCAATGACATCTGTAACATTTTAAAGTTTGTTAGAACAGAAGAAAAACGGATTTTCCCGCAATTATTATTAGACGTGCCAGATAACAAAAACGCGCCGATGGTAATTTACGACATTTCTGTAAACGTATTAAAAAGTGGCGCCGGACTTTACAAACAATGGCGACTGCGTCTCCTTCTGTTAGTGTAAAGGGGGGGGGGGGGGCACTTTACGGGTATTTGATACCCAAAGCCTTTGTTTTCTCAAACCTCCCCCTCCCTTCAATGTTTACAGTACCTTAGCCACCCGGGGTAAAAAAATATATGGCCGCTTATCTTGACGGGCTAGTAATGAAAACAACAGTCGCCAGCGTTGAAATGGTACCAGGCTCATTATACCACGTGACCAGAGCAATTCTTGAATCAACAGATGGAGTGGCGCTCGATAGCGGCTAAAAATAGAAACCCGAAATTGGACTGATATTAAAAAAAAAAGAAAATCTCTAACCCAAGTTATTTTAAACGCTGCTAATCTCTTAACCAAATTTCTTGTAAAAGCTGTTATGTCTAATCTCTACCATAAATTGTTTTAAACACCGTTAGGTCTAGTCTCTATAGTAATTTGTTTGCAATGCCGTTGTATTTAATCTCTACTATAAATTGTTTAAAATCCTTTTAGTATATATATCTATATATGTAAAGAAAAGCGGTTGGGTACCCATAGGGCAATTCCCGGCGCCGCAGGCTCTTCAAATTTGGCAGGCTCCTACCTCGGGTCAACAGAACATTGGGGATGGTACCGATCGGCCGCAAAGTCCACGGTGAGGGTGTCAAAACTGACCTCGTCTGACCGGCGCCTTATATGAGCTATATATCGAAAAAAAAACATTTAGCCGAACGACCTCCATGATATTTTGTGAGGTCGTAGAAAAACGCTTATGGCTGTCCGAAAAACATTCGCCATATCTGGGAAAACTCTTTAAAGTGGTCAAAACTGACCAGTCGTTTTTTCCCTATATAACCTTTGTAATTTATGTCAAAAACAGAGGGTAATTTCAACACAGATTTTAGGATACTTACCGTCTGTACGTCTGACTAATTTTTTGCATGCACCTCTGTAAATTGCTAGGCCTTATGGGAAAACTGTCGGTGCGACTCAAAAATGACCGCGAGTTTTTCTGAGAAGCTGCGCCCCGCCCCCCTTTTCCTCTCCCCCTCCCCCCCCCCCCCCCCCCCGAAAAGGTTATTGAACGTAACGCTGGCCGAAATATAGGGCTGTATTATGGAACTTTCATTAAGGTTTAATAGTTATTGAAAACCTTAATGCACTCATTAATTAGTGCTGGGTTAAAACGCATTAGATTCGATTCAAAACGGTGGTATCGATTGTCAGAGTGAAACGGACCCACCGCACAAAACAAAGCCCTCTTGAAATTACATTCTCTTTTATTTCCCTTTGATCCTTCAATGAAAGCTTGACACGCTTAAAAAATCTGGCCACTACTGATAGTTTATACTATGAGTGTATCGCTCCGTATTGCCTAATTGGAAATTTCGTCTGTCTAAAAGTAAAAGTTACAAACGACTCTGCTGTCATTATTGATTGAATGTTTTATAAAAGGAATATATTTAAGATTACTTAATGGTTTGATTACTAAATACTTTAATTGTAGTTCAACGGATTCTATTTTAGGTATGCCTTTTAAAATATTGAAGTATAGATCTAATAGCTACCAAACTCGATTAAGTTGGAGAAATCAGAAATGTTTTAATTAAACCGTCTTTAATTAAACTGTTACTTTAATTGGGGTCGTGCACTTGATCCATCCCTTCCCCATGTTACGTTATGACATTGCTATATCTCCCGTATCACTTTAAGTTTACAATGTTTGTAATGAACAGATACTACAGAGCACAAAAATAGGGATGAGGCTAGGGGGGGGGGGGGGATTTGGGTGATTGTGGGAAGGGGTCTGATAATTTTAGAGGGGAAAAAACGTATTAAGTTCTTGACTCGCCCATTCTCATAATATTTCAAAAAGCGCTAACTACTTTATTCGTACAAGAATTAAAGAGAAACTATCGTGTTAAATCTTCTTTAGAGATGGCTGTAAAGAGTTAAACTTACCTAAAATAAGAGAAAAAAAGAACTAAGTGTCAGCTCAATCATCTAACAACTTAGATAACAAAAAAAGAATTACAAAAAATTAAATCAAAATCAATGTAGGCTGGTCTATATCTACAAAACTGCTCCACCATCCCAATAAAAAATACAATAACGGAACGAATTTAACCACCATCTTATCCACTTCTTATTACAAAATTTGCGCACGGTCCCTTCAAAAATATCAGGCTAAACAATATCATCAACGGTACTAAATTTAGCTATTAAAAAACCCTGCGAGAGCGGCAAAATAAGTTTCTTTTCTTTCCTTGTTAAAAATCGGGGATTACTAAAAGTGCCTTAAAATACGCGATAGGTAAAAATAAAAATACAGTAAAACTGGCAGCAATATAAATGGTTCTATATTCTGATCAATTAATTAAGCTTTTTTCGTTTAGAATGGTTAGTAAACTGTTAAACGTAGGGAGGTTTCACTGCGCTAACGATGTAAGGGACATAACTCTGATTAATGTTGACATTCAGCAGGATCATTGGAAGAGTGGTTTATCTTAGGTGTAGCAACTTTGACAAATTGAAATACTAAATCTAGATCTAGATCTAGATCTAGAAATCTAGAATAGATCTAGATCTTAGACCAATTTTTGCTGTGTTATTTCAACGCCAAAGCTAGACACAGGTTATTATGGGTTTCCAAAGGTATAGCGCATTATTAAACTCAACAAAACTTTATTTAATTACAATTAAGTGAAGACTGAAGACTGTCATGTACCTTTGCTTTGATTTTGAACCAAATATAAAATTTTGTTTTTTATTAAATACTAAAATACTATAATAGGCCTAGATCTACTCATTATGAAATTTTATCAAAATGCCTACTATTAAGTCTTAGATAGTAATTTATTTAATAATTTAGGGCTTAGTTAGGCCTAATAATAATTTTTACTAATTTTTTCTATTTTTTACCCTTCATCACTCTTCACACGAACTATTAAAAAAACAACTATTAGGCCCCTAGATCTAGATCTAGATCTAGGCCTAATTTAAATAAGAGACAATATCAATATTAAATTGAAGTCTTCTAGATCTAGGGTGTGTTCCAAATTAGTTAGTTTGTAATAATTTTTTTTTAAAAACGTTGTGGTGTAGATTTAGCTTTATGTACGTCACTCCACTGAATGTTTTAGACTATAGTATTTTTCACTGTCTCTTATGTCAACTTTTCCTCCCATAACAAGAATTTACTATTACCCTTATTTTTTAAAGGTTCACTTTCTTATATCCTGCCCCCACATTTCAATTTTGCGTTTAATGGACTTAAACATATTTTTATTTTTCAGACTGTGGCCACTAAAATGGGCTTGGACACAAAGAAGTCTTCATCTCTGTGGAAGGACAGGGCTCTAGTAGAGGTCAATCTGGCTGTGCTGTACAGCTTTCAGGTCAATATCTTGTCCACTTCATGATTTAGTGGGATTACTATAGTCTAGGCAGGATGGATATAGTACTCATACTGATATTAGTAGTAGTACCTTACCATAGTACAGCGGGGATACGATTACAGTACCAATGTGTAGACAGAAAATAATAGCAGTACCAAAGTATTAAGTGCAGTATAGTACCTTAGTACAGACAATATACCACAGTACCAGAAGTGCTGAGATAACCTAGTACTGTACGATAGTATTGAAAGGAAAGGATACAGTATCATAAATGCAGACAGTTATTTTTTCTATCTAAATGTCAATAGTAACTATCTATTCTGATCACTATGGGAACAAAACTGCAATTACTTTTCCAAAATTTTAAACTCAATTTATGTATCTGTTTCAGACAAGTGGAGTGACCATCACTGACCACCATGCAGCCAGCGAGTCCTTCATGAAACACATGGAGAACGAACACAAACTTCGAGGCGGTTGCCCCAGTGACTGGGTCTGGGTCGTCCCTCCCATGAGTGGGTGTATCATGGAAGTTTTTCACCAGGAGATGTTGCTGTACAAGCTGAAACCTTCTTATGAGTATCAGGTAAAGGAGATGTTGATTTCAGTATCAGGTAAAGGAGATGTTGATTTTAGTACAGGGATAAAAATGTTAGACAGTCTTGACATGTAAGGAGGGAAAGTTGTGGGCCTATAAATTTTATTTTTAGATAACCTCAGACTCAGGACCTGGAAACTAAGATTTCTGTCCGATAATTTTCATTTTTAGTATTGTAGTAATCGAATAAATACTTAACAATCATTATTGTAATATATTATAATTTATATATATATATAATATATATATATATATATATATATATATATATATATATATATATATATATATATATATATATATATATATATATATAAAAGCCTATACATATTCTTTGTATGAGAGTTAAGATGTTTTTTTTTGCGTATTTACTTTTGTATTTCTCTGTTGCATATAGGAAGAAGCGTGGAAGACGCATGTCTGGAAGAAAGACAGAGACAAGCCAAAATCTACTGACAAGCCCAAGAGGAGATTTGGATTTAAAGAACTGGCAAGGTAGAGAAATATAAGCCTAGATAAACAAAGATAAGCCCATGTGTTAATAAATAAATATAAATTATTAAAATTAGGAGTAATATTTGCACAAATCTAAACCCATATATTAATTAAAATTAAATTTGTTAAAATTAAAAACAAGTTTTTTAAAATATAAACAATTGTGTTTATTACAATTCACAAATATTGTGTATCACATTGAATTATATTCATTTTTAAATATGTAGGCCCTATCACATGTATGTTAATTTGAATGAAGATATTTATTAAATAAAAGTAAATGTGTCAAAATACAGAACAAAAATAGAAGAATGTCCATGAAACCAGTATTATTTAATTAAAATTGATTAAAAAGCAGGTAACAAAATATGAAGAGAATTTTTATGGAGCTGCATACATCAATCATAAATTATTTTAAACTTGCATACAAATAATGCAAAAGTTTTGTAGGCTTACTTGTATTTCTTAAAATTTATTTGATAAAATATTACTTTTTAGTCTTGCCAGTTTATTAATATACTACTTTTATGGTATTTTGTTACTAACTCGCCAACATCACTGTCATCTCCAGAGCTGTCAAGTTTTCCGCTAAACTAATGGGCAAAGCTCTAGCAAGACGTGTCAAGTGCACCATTCTGTTTGCCACAGAAACTGGAAAATCTGAGAGATTTGCCAACACATTGGGAGAAATATTCAAACATGCATTTGATGCTAAGGTACACTAATATTTTTTTTTTGGTGTCTTAAGGCGTATGATAAAATATTTATTTTCTCATAAAACTTCTGAAATTTGAATGCAGGTTGAGTAAAGACATTAGGCTGAATAAAAATATTAAGAGCTTAGTGTAAACTTACTGATGGAATTTCCAACTTAGTATAAATTTTGTTTTTGAGTACATTTTATTTTCTGTAGAAATTATGATTTAATGAATTTGAAATGTTTTATTTATTTACATTTTTTTTACACTGATATAAACAGACTGTGCCGTATGTCACTATGCCTATACTTGGATAAGTTAGGAGTCACAGCTCATAGTTAGCTAACACGAATTGCAATGATGCTAAACACATTTCGATGCAGTATTAGCTTGGTATTTGTTCTTGTGATTCCAGGTACTTTGTATGGAGGATTATGATGTGAACTCTCTGGAACATGAGTCCTTAGTGATTGTCATCTCCAGTACATTTGGTAACGGGGATCCTCCTGAGAATGGGGAGGTGAGAATTTTTTTCTACTCACTTAGTTTTTTATTGTATAAGGCTTGCTAAAGTTATATAAGTTTAAAAAAAAAAATTAAATTTTTAAATAAAATAAAATCTCTCTCTATATATAAAGATATATAAAAAAAGATTTGTGTTATGTGATTTGTGTAAATTTTACACAAATACAAAACACGATTTTACATTTTATTGAATATTAACTGATAATGGCACACTTAGACTCAATCCAAGGCAGATAATTAATGTTGCTGTGAAAAAAAAATTATTTCCCTTAATTTCTTTGTTGATAAAGGTTAAGTTTACAATTTTATTTCTAATAAAACATTACATTTGTTCCATAACTTAAAATTTTTTTTATTAAATTTGTTTGATCTATTTGCTGACATGTTTTGTATTATTAAAAATGCAGGCGTTTGCTAAAAGTTTGTATGAAATGAAGCCAGCAGAGACCATGAATGGGTAAGAACATTTAACATACTCAAGTGAATTACATTTTTTCCCTTTACACTTTGGCTATTTGGTAAATAATTTTTTGTTCCTGATTTTTACATATACTCCCTACTGTTATTGTGCTTGTTCAGTATCTGGTTCAGAGAAAAATATATTTAAAAAATAAATAACCAGGAAATAATTACCTTGTAATAAAAAAAAATAGCATTAATGAACTATAATTTATCTATTCATATTGTATTGAAACAATGTATTGAAAGTTATGAAACCATATGCTAATGAAATATAAAGTGTAGTTAATTCAATTTTTTTTTTAATTTTAAAAATATTAACATAATTTATAGAACTGACTGATTTCGGTAAATTCATTATTTGTATGTCAATTTTCCAGAGACATAAATGGGACCAGGTCACATTCTTCATACGTTAGAATGAGCATCTCCAGTGAGAAAGAGGTCAGACTGGACAGTGAAGATTTAAATAGCGCTGCAGATTCTCTTGCTATGGTCACTGGGCCACTGGGCAATGTTAGGTAACTCTTTGTGTGTGTGTGAAAACTATCATCTCTGAGCTTTAAGATTTTACTGTTGGCTGTTCTGATGTATCAGAATTTGTCTATCTGTTTGCACAGAAAAGTTGGTTTACTGATTAGATTTTTCAACAAGCAGACCATTATATTAAAGAGTGATTTTGAGTATATATTTTCTATGTAAACTTAATATTTTTTGGTTTCATCGAAGGATATTTGGGAGGGCGGGGGTGGCGTTTCATTGTATGAGCAACTTGAGGGGTATGTGTAGATGACAATGCTGCAACTCTTTGTATCTGGATTTAGAGCTTATTACTAATAAATGAGGGGAGTAAATTAAGATTTATGTTTTTTTTCTATAGTTGAAGAAAAATAATCTTTGATTTTTAAATGCTTTTTTTTTTCTTTAACTGTCGACTGATAATATAATTTTTGTTTATCATTTATCAAACCAAATTCCATTTATTATTTCACATGGGTTTTTAATCTCCACTACCTTGCATTAGAAATTAGCTGTCATTACAGATTAAATAAACAAATAGTTTGTTGTTTTTGGTACAAATTCTTACCGATTTCTACAGATATTCAGTTTTTGCTTTGGGGTCTAAGGCTTATCCACATTTTGCTGCTTTTGGCCACTACATTGACAACACACTCCATGATTTGGGGGCTGAGAGAATTTTTCCAGTTGGAGAAGGGGATGAACTCTGTGGTCAAGAACAGAGTTTTAGGACTTGGGCTGAGGGAGTTTTTAAGGTAAGAGTTATTTCCCATGTTATACAATTTTAGATTTATAAATAACAAGCAAATTATAATTTAAAACAGTTTTTCTAAGGCTATTTATATCTTTCAAAAGAAAATGAGCATTATTTTAGCATGTCTTGCATTTTTATTAATTTTAAAATTAAGACTATAGACTTGTAAGCCAAACTAATACAATGCGTCAAAAAATGTAATTTCATTGCATTTCTACTTGAGCCCCATTCAAATTAACATAATTACTCTAGGCTGCATGCGACACATTCTGTCTGGGTGATGATGTGAACATCAGTGAAGCCACAGGTGCACTAAACAACAGTGACCACAGCTGGCTGCCCAACAGGTTTAGGATTACACCAGTGGACAGTGGCAAGGAACCGGACATGTGTGAAGGTACGGTTTTATCTTCCTCATTTGAAATTATCACATTTGCAAAGCAATGTATGTGTGAAGGTACAATTTAATTTTATTATTTAAAAATTATCTTTTGTTAATCACCCATCCACAACAATGTATTAAAATTAACATAATTTAGATAAGTTGTTAGTTGAATTAAAATTAATATTAACTAAACATTTTATTTTTGTTAAAATTAAAATGTATGTTTATTTTATTTTTGTTAAAATTTAAATGTAAAATATTTATTTTATTTTTGTTAAAATTAAAATGTATAATATCTATATATATAATTCTCCTCTTCGAGCCGTTAGAAAACAAGCTGCAAACGCTCTCCCTACCTCCCCACCCCTACATGGTTTTTGTGAGCTGTGTTCACTCTAAATGTTTACAAGCAGAGCCAACGATTTTAAACGTAGGGGGGGGAAGGAAGGGGGGGGGGTTATGGTCCTTAACGAGCTACTTATAGTGTTTTAAAGAAATATTTTCAGTGGCAGCGTTGGTACTGTCGAATTCACAAATTTTGAATTACTGAAAAGTAGAAAAAAACAATAACTAAATAGCGGCGTATGCTATGCCGCGGGCCGGCTCGTTTATTTTATTTTTCTTGAACTATGACAAATACTTTTTTTTATATTTTTTTTCTAGCCCTATCTAAAGTTCATAGCAAACGTGTGCTTCCCTGTTTATTGACTGAAAGGATCCAGCTACAGGCCTCAGACTCTGAGTAAGTTCCAAATGAGATTTGATTTAATAATTATTCATCTTTCAATTTATTAACATCAGGACACTTTCACAGTGACTATCATTTCAGCCAGAGGGCAAGCCTATTGAAACTATTAATTGCTACAGTGGGATAAGGCTATTTTAACATTAGTTTTATTGGCTGCCAGTTGACAGCCTTATTAAAAACTGTTAATTAGTAATAAAACAGATATTAAAAGCTGGTTCCAAATTTTTCTTGCCAGAAAGCATATTTTTCAACCAAAATTGAATGTTTTTTAACATTTGTGTAATATAAGTACAAAATTACTTCCGGTTTCATTTAGGCTAGAAATAGTCAAAGAAATAATTACTAGTAATATAATAGTAATTTAGCAACACTTTTAAAAATTTTTTTGATTAGTATAGTCAGGGTGTTGTGGTGATTGGGGATGTTATATTATCTAATATAAATACAATACTATGCTATACACCATAGATCACTATTGTGTATTTTTATCATGGAAAACAATTGTTGTGACTTTCATTGTTTTACTCTCCCTAGCCATTCTGGTAGACTTCAAGGAGAGGTTGAGGGCAGTTTTTGAAAATATTTGAATTGATAAAATAATTATAAACGGCTTTTTAACAACTTATAATCTATAAAAAATATAAAAGTGAATGTAACCAATGGTTCCCAAACGGCTTTAATTTTTACAAATCTAATTATAATTTTATTGCTTGCCATATTTTTTTACAGATTTGTTCAAAAATGTAGTATGATTACATAGACTTTTCATGCCTATTGCTACAGAAGGATAAGGCTATTTTCACAACTGTTTAATTTGCTTCCAGTTGACAAATCACGTTGAGCTGATTCTATACTTGACAAAATAAGATTAGGATATTTTATTTTATTTTATTCCATTAGATTTTAATTCACCCTCCTTTCCCTACACCCCCCCCAGTGAAAGCAGCCTCCTCTTAGTTACCTCCCCTAAGTTTAAAATCGTTTCAAACTAAATTATCTGCCCCTAATAGTCGTCACTAAACCCGGCTCTACAATTGTAAACATTTAGCGTGAACCACAGCTCACCAGCATGTGGGGGTGGGGGTGGTAGGGATATGCCTAGAGAGGAAGAGAGGGGGCTGCTAGGCGCGCTTACAGCTTGGTGTTTTCTATGGTCTCCATGAAGAGAATTATATATATAGATACAGATTAGCCTATTTCAACAATTAATATATCCCTCCCAGCCGGCAGACGATTCTAGTAAAGTTGAACACACAAGGTGCCTCTGAGCTGCTGTATGTACCAGGTGACCATGTTGGCATTTTTCCTGCTAATGCCCCAGAACTGGTGGATGCTATTCTGGCCAGGCTCCACAATGCTCCCCCTCCTGACCAAGTTATACGCACAGAGTTTCTGCATGAAGTTGTCACTCCTTTAGGTATGTTTAGTATGTATGGATAGTCAGTTGTTGTAGAGAGTCTGGTCAATATTCGTATACGTATTTGCTGATGTCTGTATTGTTCAATAACATTATAACATGTATAAGTCAAAACCAATATACATAGTTGTTATTGAAGTTTTGTATTGTTTAATGACTGTATATAATATGTTTAGATCAATAACGGCATACTTAGTTTTTACAGATTATTGGTTAATATCAGTATACCTAATTGTATTTGTAAAGGAAGCTGGGTGTTTTATCAAAGATTGCCGAAGGTCATTTTCATGAATAGGTTCTAGTCCGAAAGCGCCCAACGCCTGAATAGACACAAATGTATATGATTGTTTAAGACCCATAATAGTTTAACCTATCCCCATTACAATTCAAGCTGTAGTTGTGGCTTTTGCTAAGCCTAACAGCAAGCAAATGTATCACTCTAGGCTTTTCCATTCCACCTTTAAGTGAAATACCATCCGTTTTTTTCATGTTAGATGGGTCTGGTAATTAGAGATAACTGTGTAAATGTTTTGTCTGTGTCAGGTACGAGCAAGACCTGGGCAGAGTTTGAGAAGATGCCAGTGTGTAGCATGAGGTCTGCCTTCACCTACATCCTGGACATCACCACCCCACCCTCCCAGTCACTGCTTCAACTGTTGGCCACACAGGCAACCAGAGATGTTGACAGGGAGAGGCTGGAAAATCTGGCCACAGTAACATTCTTTTTTTCTTTTAAAATGACAGCAGTTATGCTTTTTTTTTTCATAAAAAAACATAAAATAGCCTACAATATGCAGAATCAAACTGCATTAATTATGTATGTCAAAGTATGTAATATTTTAACTAAATATGTATTATATAAAAATCTAATTTATCCTGAATGAAGTGTTTGGGTAATTTATATAAATTAGGCCCATATATTTTGAATAGGCCTACTATGAAATACAAGAGAAGTATTATTCCATTTTTTAAAGCAAAAATTCCAGATATTAAAAGTTTTCTATCCGAATTTAGGATTCCAAAGCCTATGAAGACTGGAAGTATGACCTGAGCCCAAACTTGCTGGAAGTCTTGGACCAGTTCTCTTCACTTAAAGTGCCGCCATCTTTGTTGCTGACCCAGCTGCCCTTGCTACAGCAGCGCTACTACAGCATCAGCTCCTCCCTGCTGATGTACCAGGGGGAGATCCACGCCACCATAGCTGTGGTCAAGTTTAGGACACAAGGTAAATCACCATAGCTGTGGTCAAGTTTAGGACACAAGGTAAATCACCATAGCTGTGGTCAAGTTTAGGACACAAGGTAAATCACCATAGCTGTGGTCAAGTTTAGGACACAAGGTAAATCACCATAGCTGTGGTCAAGTTTAGGACCCAAGGTAAGTCACCATAGCTGTGGTCAAGTTTAGGACACAAGGTAAATCATCATAGCTGTGGTCAAGTTTAGGACACAAGGTAAATCACCATAGCTGTGGTCAAGTTTAGGACACAAGGTAAATCACCTTAGCTGTGGTCAAGTTTAGGACACAAGGTAAATCACCATAGCTGTGGTCAAGTTTAGGACACAAGGTAAATCACCATAGCTGTGGTCAAGTTTAGGACACAAGGTAAGTCACCATAGCTGTGGTCAAGTTTAGGACACAAGGTAAATCACCATAGCTGTGGTCAAGTTTAGGACACAAGGTAAATCACCATAACTGTGGTCAAGTTTAGGACACAAGGTAAGCCACCATTGTTGTGGTCAAGTTTAGGACACAAGGTAAATCTAAATCACCATTGCTGAGGTCAAGTTTAGGGCACAAGGTAAATCTGAATAGCAATTATTGTCAAGTTTAGAAGAACAAGGTAAATATAAATCACCAGTGTGGTCAAGTTTAGGACACAATGTTAATCAGGTATTGCATGATCCAGTATATTTTAGTCACCATTCCTATTATCAATATTATACACCGTGAATCTAAATCCTTGTTATTATGGTCCATAGAATACAAGTTAGACTATTGGCTTAACTATTGGAAATTGAAACTTACATTTGTGAAAGTCATAACAGCGCATCAGTGCTATTCCCCCAAAAGATTGTATAAACATGTGTATGAGCAATAAGACATGACATTTTCTTCACCAGATGGCGCTGGGCCAGTCCATGAGGGTGTGTGTTCTGGTTGGATGAACAGATGTCCAGTCGGTACAGTTGTGCCTTGTTTAGTTAGAGCGTAAGTTCATCTTCCTTTTTTTAAAATGAAACCACATTTAACCATTGATATGTTTGGGTAAGAAACTCAGGTTTGATTCATACGTTTGGGTCTGTAGGACCTTGCTGAGTCCACTCAGCTATAACACGTACCTGCCTTGGGTTGGTTAGAGACAAGTAACTTGGTTTTTATTATGTCCAGTTCATAGAAACACACTCCAGTACACCTCCAATAATGGCTCCTTACACATTTAATTTGATTTCAACAGGTCTTACTTTACTTATAACTAAACACTATTTGCAGACTTCCGTCACTTTATGGTACAATATTCTTTTTGCAAATGTCCATAATTTTATGGTCCATTGTTTCATCTAATAAATGTCTATTTACACATTTAATTTGATTTCAAAAGGTCTTACTTTACTTATAACTAAACACTATTTGCAGACTTCCGTAACTCTATGGTACAATATTCTTGTAGCAAATGTCCATACTTTTATGGTCCAATGTTCTATTTTCAGAGCCCCTGCTTTCCACTTGCCAGAAAATCCTGCCCTTCCTATCCTTATGATAGGCCCTGGGACAGGCATTGCCCCCTTCAGATCTTTCTGGCAACAGAGGATGATTGATAAAGAGATGAATAGTGTGCCTTCACGTAAGTCATACATTATGAATAGTGTGACTTCACGTAAGTCATACATTATGAATAGTGTGCCTTCACGTAAGTCATACATTATGAATAGTGTGACTTCACGTAAGTCATACATTATGAATAGTGTGACTTCACGTAAGTCATACATTATGAATAGCGTGACTGCACGTAAGTCATACATTATGAATAGCGTGACTGCACGTAAGTCATACATTATGAATAGCGTGACTGCACGTAAGTCATACATTATGAATAGCGTGACTTCACGTAAGTCATACATTATGAATAGCATGACTTCACAAAAGTCATGAAGTAGAATAAAACAAAGAGATTAAATCATAAATTATGAATAATGTGCCTTGACGCCCAAATGAAGTAGGTTTAAGCTAGTAGAAAAAAAAACGTAGATGTTTAAAACAATCCATTGTATTGGGTTTTTTTTTTTGGAAAAATAGAATTTTGAAAAATATTTTTAAAGCAAAATATAATCAATATATTTAGTGAATGAAGGAAATATGAGTAAAAAACTGTCAATGTCTGATTTTGTGAACATGATTTACAGAGGGTCTAACAAAGCCATTTGGGGACATGACTCTATACTTTGGATGCCGCACTGCATCTCAAGACAACATCTACGGGAAAGAGCTGGAAGAAATGGAAAAGGCTGACGTGCTGTTTTATCATGTAGCCCTGTCTAGAGAGCCAGATATGCCAAAGGTAATGGGACACTGTCTAGAGAGCCAGATATGCTAAAGGTAATGTCAGACTATCTAGAGAGCCAGATATGCCAAAGGTAATGTGACAATTTCTGGGAGTGGTCGTGATTGTTAACTTATGGTGATGACCACTGGTGTACCACAGCATTTCTCCTCAGCCACACCCCACACCCTAACTGCACAACCCACAACATCCTACCCCTACCATCATCGCCCTACCACACGACTACCACCCCACCACACTCAAAGACTCCACTCCACCCCATCCCCACTCTACACCACAATTACACACTGATCCACACCCCAACCACACCACCCAAACCATTCAGAAATATGATTTCAACATCCACTCCCCAGGTTTACGTGCAAGACATCCTACTAAACAACGCTTCCATTGTTTATGACATGATCGTGAAGAAAGGCGGCCATTTTTACGTGTGTGGTGACATCGCAATGGCCCATGACGTCACACGCACGCTGGAAGTTGTCATGCAAGAACAGGGTAACATGAAACCAGAGGACGCCAGCAGATTTATAACAAAATTGAGGGTGAGTCAACTTACCCTTGCTGAACTGATGTTACGTTAACGTAGATAAAGCCAAGATAATCTTTTGTCCATGGCATACTTGATAGTATAGCATTCCCCAATTTCTCGCAAAGTTAAACAAGTACTCCCCTAGTTTCCCTAATTCTTTCCCAGCTTTCAAAATTTCTCCCCAAAATTCCCACATTTTTCCCTAGATTCCCATACCCTCCACATAATTCCCATTTTATCTCCTAGATTCCCATTCTCTCACCTAGATTCCCATATTCTCCCCTAGATTCCCATATTCTCCCCTAGATTCCCATATTCTCCCCTAGATTCCCATATTCTCCCCTAGATTCCCATATTCTCCCCTAGATTCCCATATTCTCCCCTAGATTCCCATATTCTCCCCTAGATTCCCATATTCTCCCCTAGATTCCCATATTCTCCCCTAGATTCCCATATTCTCCCCTAGATTCCCATATTCTCCCCTAGATTCCCATATTCTCCCCTAGATTCCCATATTCTCCCCTAGATTCCCATATTCTCCCCTAGATTCTCATATTCTCCCCTAGATTCCCATACTCTCCCCCCTAAATTTCCATACTCTCCCCCAGTTCCCATACTCTCCCCCAGTTCCCATACTCTCCCCCCAGTTCCCATACTCTCCCCTAAATTCCCATCCATCTACTCCTCTCTGTTCTCAGGATACCAACAGATTCCATGAGGACATATTTGGTGTCAGTGTCAGGAGACCAGGGGAGTTAACTGAGAGACCCAAGGACCAGTCTATGAGAGCTCTTGCCTATCTCAATGCCACCAAAGTCCTCGGAAAACCTGATGCTTTGAAAGAGAGAGCAGTGTTTATCACAAAGGTATGCACATCTTGAATAATGTTGGTACATTACATTAAAACATTTAAAATTAATTTGATTAAAAAATTGCTATAAAAATTATAAGGGCGAATTAATATTCTATTAATAATATTCTATTAAGCTTTTCTATTTCAAAATTACTTTAAATCAATTGATTAGTTTCATAGTAATAGTGTTGTTAATGAACAGTGGGTACATAGGCAATATTTTGTTCACTAGAACAAAAAGACAAGAGATTTTTTTTTAACAAGGGACATAACCGTCTTTTTTAAAACAAGGGACGTAACAGTTTTCATTAAAACATCCAACTTACAATAATCTTTAATTATATAATGGATTTAAGTCTTTATTAAAACAAGAAACATAACAATGACAGGTATTAATTTATCTTGCAATTTGAAACATTTAAAGAGCAAATTGCTTTAAAATTTCATTTTCAAATTGTTGTTGAATAAACAAGATAACTGTTTTTATTATATAACACTATATATCATCTTGCATGTGTAACATAGTTAATGTAATATTAATATTCAATTACACAGCAGCAGGCAGCGTTGCAAAACTGATTTAAAATCCTTTAGGTGAACATAACCTGGTATTAATTTGTGTGCATTGTTAGTTGAATTTTTTTATGTTTACACATGGCTTGTGTGAATCAACTAGTTCATGTTTTATACAGTTTTAATATTGAGTCATTTATATGCATGCTGATCTAAGTTTGTTTCGTTACTTTTGGCTACTGTGTGTGATGATGTCACTTTTTAACTTTTACTTGCACAACACTTATGCCATTAGAACAGCAATTTGAAGGGAAAAAAAGAAGTTGAAAAGATTTTGCAAATTTGCACAAACAATTAAAAAGCAAAGGACCATATATTGAGATGATTTAGACATTAGTAACATATTGCTTGCAATTTAATTCATTATTGTCTATGAATTAGACATTAGTAACATATTGCTTGCAATTTAATTATTGTTTTAAAATATGATATCAATTATAGTGTTTTTATTTTTTTTTAATTTTATATTACTGCTTTATCAATTCTGGTGAAACTAGAAAGCAAACTTTACATGACTCTTTCATGAGAGATAATTTCCTTTAACATTACAAAACTTTCACCTCCACTGATATCAAAATGGTTTTTAAAAAAAAAATTAAAGATAGATTACATTTTACTAAAAATATTAAAGATAAAAATCAACAACTTCACACTTTATCTCTTGGAAAACTACTTATTGGCTTTGAAATAAAACAATGTTCTCACTTTTAATTATTGTAGTGCATTTTGAAGTAGTTAATAACATTGTAACAATGTGTTTACACTTGTGACTTGTATACAATATATATCTGAAAATTCACAATAAGTTAAATTTATGGGAACATTTACTGCAGAATTTATTTTTCAGATGTGTATTGTACACATGTTGCTATTGTAAATTCTGTTTCATTCATGTAGATTATTTAAAATATGCATTCTTAAAGCTGTGTAGAATTATAAAATTAAATTTTAAAAAATCTAAAGTTGTAAATAGATCCACTGAAAGTTTTAGAGAAGGAAATTTTGCTCGCTCACCGTATTGTGTATATTAGCTTTAAAAAACATGAATAATTTATTCGAGCACTTAAGGCATTAGCTTTGTTTATATACAGTTAGTGTGAATTCACAATAAATATATCCTGACACACCTTGTTTGTTTATCAGCTTTGTATTTGAAATGAACTGAATTTGACTTGGTTGCAATTATTATTCTAACTGTAATATGTGTTCATTTAACATTTAAATTCTTTTTTAACATTTTTGTCCTTTGGTTCATTTACATTGTTTAGAATTTTAGTAAAAGTTAAAATTTAAATATGAGTACAATATAGCACCTACAAAAAAAAAATGTTTGGAAAAAGAGTAAACCAACAGCATATGTAAGGGTTGATCAGAATTAATAATGCAAATATCTTATTTTTTGTGATTATATTAGTTTTAATATTTGTCTTTTATGAGATTTTTGACATTTATAAAATGTTCTAACCTGATTTGTGACTTTTTTAAAATTCCAGGATACAAGGAAAGTGATTGCCAAACCAAAAGCACCAATGAAAAACATCTTTACAAAGCAAAAAGTTGCACCGGAAAATGTGCCTGAAAAAAATAACTTTTAATTTTTCTTTCCTTTCAAAATATTTGTTAAAATCTCAAATAATTTTGGTAGAAATAGTTACACAGCAATATGTGTGTGTAATGTAACCATAATAAATTCTTTAAAATGGGTGGGTAACCTTATTTTTTATCTAGAAATTTCCTGGGCTTATCTGTAATTTTTTAAATTTATCAGCTGCTGTTACTTTTATGTATCAAATATTCATTTTTATTTTCTAAATAACATAACAAACTAACCATTGATTTTTGTTTTCCTGATAAAAAAATACTTTTTCATACATCCATTGTTTAATTGTGTTCACTTTTCTGAATGTTTATAAATCATCAAGACACTTTTCTCTCCTTGCATGCACCTTTAACTGTTTTCCTCAACTGTTTCCAAGATTCTGTCTAGGTTTAAATGTAAACACACACAAATAAACCTGAAAACATGATGGTTAAAATTTTGTGTGTGAGTGGACATACTGTTTTGCGCAGGAAAATAGATAACAGGGAAATAATTATCTAAAACAATGTCAAGTTTAAATAAACTTTAGATCTTCATCTCATAAATGTATAAACTTAACTGTAAAACCTATTACTGTGTCTATGTGTTCAATAAATATAATTTTTCATTAAAAACTTAATGTGTTTGATGAAGGGAGGTAAGGAGATGTTTTGGTCATGACTGGAGGTTGGGTAAATAAAAAGAAAGCCACTTTAAGTAATAAAGCTGATAATCCCCCTTGGCTGTGTTTTTTCATATTTTTACACATTTAATAAATACCGCTATTGTTCAAATCAATCAATTATCAATTAACCGCTGACTTCTGCTAAAAATTACCTCACTTTAGTGATATTTCCAGTTTCATTTTCTTATCAACTGTCCCATTGCATTGAGGGTATTTTAATTTTTGTATTTGGATATTTGCAGTGGAATAAAACTAGTTAAAAAAAAAAAAATAAAACTAGTTAGATAAGGTATCTAAACATTGATGTTGAATGAAATAACAAATTGGGATATTATTAAACTGGGAAATTACTTAATTAATAATTGTTTGCAATTAGTGGAAATAGTTTTTCAATTGCATCAATGTCTTTAAGTTGCGGCCTAATAAAATTTGAAATTCAAAAATTTCAAATAACGTCCGTTTAATTTTCATCCTTATTTTCATCCCCATTTTCATCCCTGTTTTTCATCCATGTAATTAAACCAAAAAACAGTGTTTTCAGCTGCGTAATTATACCAAGTCACTTAATGTCTGCTTACATTTTCATACTCTAAGATTACATAATCATGTATTTTAAAGACCTAAATTAGTTTTTAAGCAATGGGTCCAACTTATTTTCAATCAAATCATGTTCATGATTTATTCTATTATCTCATCACACAAGACGCACATGTTCATCATTAGTTGGCTGTTTTATTTTATTCATAAAGTGTCATTTTTTCAGTTCATTTTGTATTTTTTTTAAATATAATTTTTTTTTTTTTTGACAATTGGTGAAATTATTTTCTGCGTACTATAAATAAATTGCTTGTGGTATGTTATTTAAAGACTTACATAGTAAACATCCTTTTCCAATTGGCGCAAAAAAAAACACTAAAATATTGATATTGTGAGAATGTTTGATTTTTTTTTTTCTTGAAAATTAATGATTTTACTCTATTGTTAAAAATGTTTTTAAAAAAATTCTTTACTATTAGAAGTTTTGTTGACTGTAAACAGGAATTGAATGTTTGCCCTGCTTTATCTAGTAGGTTATTTACATTTACTTTTGGTGGGAGAGTTGGACTAAATATTTACTTACCTTTAATTGATATAGGGGCTATACAATTGACTGACTTCTACTATTATACAGTATGTTAAAATTGTATTTACTTTAAATTTTAAAATGTCATTTGCCTTTTTTTCCCTCCATCTCACAAAATGAAAAATAAAAAACATATTCACCCTCTAAACAAGTGTTACTTTTTTTGGAGCACTGGATGTGAGATTGTGAATCAGTGTATACGTAATGAGGTGTCTTAGTTCTATCACATTTCTTTTTATATAAACTGTTATTTTAATGTTTAGTTTAGACCAGGGGTCTCCAAACTACGGCCCGCGGGCCGGATGCAACCCGCGAAGTCCTCTCATCCGGCCCGCGGAGATCTTTTTGTCCAAGGAAAAATGTTTGTTGATGATGGCTGAGGAGCTTTGCCCAGAAAAATCAAAGACACGTCTGGAATAAACTGGCATCCGAACTGAAATTTGATAGTTAATGCGGCCCTCGGACTGAAAAGTTTGGAGACCCCTGGTTTAGACCTAAGATAAGAACTCAGACCCAGGAGATGAGATGTCTAAGCAGAGTCCTGGGTATCTCATACAGAGATCACATAGCTGAGGAAGAAGTCTAGGATAGGGTCACCAGTGGCGAAGCGAGGTCGGGTGTCACCCGGTGCGGCACTTAATGGTGTCACCCCCCAGAGGCATAGCTACCCATCCCGGGGACAAACTTTGAAGTTTTCGATTTGCACTCCCCCCCCCCTCAAACTTTCGATTTGCACCCCCCACCCTCAAACTTTAGATTTGCACCCCCCACTCAAGTTTTTCTCTATATATTTTGCTATTTTTTGCATTGGCGTCCCCCCCCCCCCCTAAATGGTGTCACCCGGTGCGATCCGCACCCCCCGCCCCCCCCCCCCCCCTCGCTACGCCCCTGAGGGTCACTAATGCGATTGGTCCCTTTGAGTGTCTACTGAGCATAATCAAAACTAGAAAACTGAGTTGGTATGGCCATGTCATAACATCAAACAGCCTATTACTATCCAAAACTGTATTGCAAGGCACTGTGCCAGGAGGGAGAAGAAGAAGAAGGCAAAGATGCAACTGGAAGGAAGACATCAAGGATTGGACCGATCCATCCTTCGCTGAACCAATCAAAGTTCCAAGATGGATGGCGGACAATTATAAAGTCAACTGTAGTGCACAAAGCCCACAATGAGGGTTTAAGGAGGATGATGATGGAGTATTTGATGGGTCTCCAGGTTTTTCTAGTAATGCCATCAATTTTGTTGTTTTTTAAGTTGTACTTCTTGTCGCTCCATGTCTTGTGACTGGACGTCTGGTTGTGGGACGTCTGGTTGTGGGACGTCTGGTTTTGGGACGTCTGATCGTGGGACGTCTGGTTGTGGGACGTCTGGTCGTGGGACGTCTGGTTGTGGGACGTCTGGTTGTGGGACGTCTGGTTGTGGGACGTCTGTTTGTGGGACGTCTGGTTGTGGGACGTCTGGTCGTGGGACGTCTGGTTGTTGGACGTCTGGTTTTGGGACGTCTGGTTTTGGGAGGTCTGGTTTGGGACGTCTGGTTGTGGGATGTCTGGTTGTGGGACGTCTGATCGTGGGACGTCTGGTCGTGGGACGTCTGCTGACTGGACGTCTGGTTGTGGGACGTCTGGTTGTGGGACGTCTGGTTGTGGGACGTCTGGTGACTGGACGTCTGGTTGTGGGACGTCTGGTTGTGGGACGTCTGGTGACTGGACGTCTGGTTGTGGGACGTCTGGTTGTGGGACGTCTGGTTGTGGGACGTCTTGTGACTGGACGTCTGGTTGTGGGACGTCTGGTTGTGGGACGTCTTGTGACTGGACGTCTGGTTGTGGGACGTCTTGTGACTGGACGTCTGGTTGTGGGACGTCTGGTTGTGGGACGTCTGGTTGTGGGACGTCTGGTTGTGGGACGTCTTGTGACTGGACGTCTGGTAGTGGGACGTCTGGTTGTGGGACGTCTTGTGACTGGACGTCTGGTAGTGGGACGTCTGGTTGTGGGACGTCTTGTGACTGGACGTCTGGTTGTGGGACGTCTGGTTGTGGGACGTCTGGTTGTGGGACGTCTGGTTGTGGGACGTCTGGTTGTGGGACGTCTTGTGACTGGACGTCTGGTAGTGGGACGTCTGGTTGTGGGACGTCTTGTGACTGGACGTTTTGTAGTGGGACGTCTGGTTGTGGGACGTCTTGTGACTGGACGTCTGGTTGTGGGACGTCTGGTGACTGGACGTCTTGTGACTAGACGTCTAGTGACTGGACGTCTTGTGACTGGACGTCTTGTGACTGGACGTCTAGTGACTGGACGTCTAGTGACTGGACGTTTGGTGACTGGACGTTTGGTAACTGGAAGTTTTGTGACTGGACGTCTAGTGACTGGACGTCTAGTGACTGGACGTTTGGTGACTGGACGTTTGGTAACTGGAAGTTTTGTGACTGGACGTCTGTTTGTTGAACGTGTGGTGACGTCTGGTTGCTGAAAAGCTTCAGCTTATGAAATTCGAATGTTTTACCAAAAGTAAAAGAAGTGATTTTTTTTTTCAAGTTATCACCAAGTACAGCACGTCTTTGGTGGTGACTGTAATACTTTTTTGGCGCTGTAGTCAAAGTCAACACGGCAGTTGTAGTAGTGTGGACTCAGGAACAAGAGTGCGGGAACTAAACTCGAGACTTTTGGGTTAGCACTCGTGCTCTCTACCTCTCCACCACCCTGTTCCGTTGACCAGAGTTTTAAATATCTATGCCTACTTTATGGGGTGCCACTTGTTGAACATCAGGTGGCCAGAAAAAAATTACCAAAACTTGTGGAGAAAAACTGTGGAAACTCTTTAGGTAAAGAAATACAACAGCTCAAATGGAGTTGGATTTCACACACCTTGCGTAAACCAACTAGCAACTTCACTAGAGAGGCATTAGATAGAAATCCCCTAGGAAAGAGGAAAGCAGGTAGGCTAAAAGAAACTTAGAAAAGATCAGTTGTCAGTGAAGCAGAAGCAGTCGGAATGTCGTGGACACAACTTGGAGAATCGCAACAAAAACAAAGAAATGTACAATGGAGAGTTGTGGTTGCATTCCTATGTAATGGCGGGACGTCCAACGACAAGACGTCCAGTGACAAGGGTCCAATGAACACACGTCCAATGACAAGATGTCAAATGACAAGACGTCCAATGACAAGAGGTACAATGACAAGACGTCTAATGACAAGACGTCCAATGAAGTCACGTCCAATGACAAGACGTCCAATGACAAGACGTTCATGCCTGGAAGAAACTCTGGTCACCCCATTCCAAAAAAATTTACATTAAAAAAAATTATTAACTATTTTAACCATTATATTTATTGAACACACAGACAAAAACAATGTGTTTATGGTTTAAAAAGAGTATAGTTTTATGACATATGGACCTCAAAGGTGTATTTAAAGTTCACATTGTTTTAGATAATAATTCATTTCCCATAATTAAAAAATGGATATGTGAAACGTACTTTTTACAAACTACATTATCAGGAAAAAAAATTGTTTGTTTTGTGTTATTTAGAAAAACAAATGGATAAAAGAAGTAGCAGTTATTAAATAAAAAGTTAAGATAAGTCGAGGTACAATTTACTTAGAAAGTGAGAACGGTTACACAAGCCTTTTAAATAATTTATTATGATTATATTACACATACATCTTGCCATTTCCACCTTAATTATTTTAAATTAAAAAATTTATTTAGTTGAAACGAAAATTAAAACTTTTTTTAAGGCACTTTCTCTAGTGCAGTAGACAAAATTGTAATTAATTAAAAAATAATTAGGCATCCAATTAAGTCAAATTAATATCAGATTGCATTGTCTTCATGTCTTGACCCACGTGCCAACTTTGAAACGAATCTGTTAGTTAGAAGTGCCCGAAATTTCGCTGGGGCGTTTCGATATATGACGACAGACTGAAAACAGACTGCGACAGATAGAGGAATCAAGTTAAATAAAAGCTGATAAAAAGTTTTAAATATTGCCTGATTAGAATTAAAAGTTCTTTTTACTGCTCACATAATAGTTAAATTGATAATTGCAACCAAATGAAATATCAGTTCAAGTTTTCTAAGGGCTTTTGTGGCAGCGCTCTAGTAGACTGGTCTTTGGGTCTCTCAGTCAACTCCCCTGGTCTCCTGACACTGACACCAAATATGTCCTCATGGAATCTGTTGGTATCCTGAGAACAGAGAGAAAAGGATGGATGGAAACTGGGTGAGAGTATGGGAACTGGGGGAGAGTATGGGAACTGGGGGAGAGTATGGGAACTGGGGGAGTGTATGGGAATCTAGGGTAGAATATGAGAATTTAGGGGAGAATATGGGAATTTAGGGGAGAATATGGGAATCTGGGGAGAATATGGGAATCTATGGGAGAATATAGGAATTTAGGGGAGAATATGGGAATCTGGGGAGAATATGGGAACCTGTGGGAGAATATGGGAATCTAGGGGAGAATATGTGAATCTAGGGAGAATATGGAAATAATAAGTTGATCTAAGTGAGAATATGAGAAAACGGGAAAAATTGAGGAACTGGGGAAAATTGGGAAACTAAGGGAGAATATGTGTACACGATTAGTAGAGCATGCGACTGCTAACATGAAAGTCTCGAGTTCAAATCAGGGTTTAAGTACGTAGAACGTCCCTGGGTCCACTCAGCTCAATTGAGTACCGAACTCAGGGAAATGAAAGGCAGCTGGGCATACTGCACACTACAATATCCTTTCATATGCCGAAGTCACAGAAACAAGTGAACTCGACTTCACTTGCCCCTTGTACAGTCAAGTTCATTAAAGGAACTTAAGTAGGACAGGGTACGTGAAAACAAAGGAGAATACAATGATTGAATACCAACCCTACTGTCTTCGGTTCAAATCTCGGACTCATTGTACGACATCCCTAAATCTGATTTTATTTAAAGTGGGGTGGGTACTTATGCCGAAGTCAAGAAACATATTAAATCTGCTTCATCTGCACAACGGGGTATGAGGTCAGAAAGGGTAACTTGACTCACCCTAAGTTTTGTTATAAATCTGCTGGCGTCCTCTGGTTTCATGTTACCCTGTTCTTGCATGACAACTTTCAGCGTGCGTGTGACGTCATGGGCCATTGCGATGTCGCCACAAACGTAAAAATGGCCGCCTTTCTTCACGATCATGTCATAAACAATGGAAGCATTGTTTAGTAGGATGTCTTGCACGTAAACCTGGGAAGTGGATGTTGAGGAGATATTACACGTGTGGAGTTCGGTGTGGTTGGGGTAGTTGGGTTGAGGTGTGGTTGGATGGTGTGTTTGGGGAGGGGGACTATGGTATGTTGTTGAGTTGGGGTGGTGTTGTTGGGTTGTGACTGGTTTGTGTTGGTGTGGTAGGGATGGAGTGGATTTGTAGATGCAGAGGGGTGTGTTAGGTGTGAGTTGCTGTGGCAGGAGGTGGTAATTTGATCATGGTGATGTGGTTGATGTGGGATGCAGTAGTACACCAGTGGTCATCACTATAAGTTAACAGTCACCACCACTCCCAGAAAGTGTCACATTACCTTTGGCATATCTGGCTCTCTAGACAGTGTCCCAATACCTTTGGCATATCCGGCTCTCTAGACAGTGTCACATTACCTTTGGCATATCTGGCTCTCTAGACAGTGTCACATTACCTTTGGCATATCTGGCTCTCTAGACTGCCAATTACCTTTGGCATATCTGGCTCTCTAGACAGTGCCACATTACCTTTGGCATATCTGGCTCTCTAGACAGTGTCCCATTACCTTTGGCATATCTGGCTCTCTAGACAGTGCCACATTACCTTTGGCATATCTGGCTCTCTAGACAGTGTCACATTACCTTTGGCATATCTGGCTCTCTAGACAGTGTCACATTACCTTTGGCATATCTGGCTCTATAGAGAGTGTCCCATTACCTTTGGCATATCTGGTTCTCTAGACAGGGCGACATGATAAAACAGCACGTCAGCCTTTTCCATTTCTTCCAGCTCTTTCCCGTAGATGTTGTCTTGAGATGCAGTGCGGCATCCAAAGTATAGAGTCATGTCTCCAAATGGCTTTGTTAAACCCTCTGTAAATCATGTCAACAAAATCAGACATTGACAGTTTTTTTACTATATACATTCCCTGATATAATATTGCTTATATTTTGATTTGGAAAAAGTAAAATAAAAATAAAAATCAAACTAGTTTTCCAAAAAAAATATATAAAAAATTGAAGGATTGTTTTTAAAAAATCTCCCGTTTTAATTCTACTTGATTTAATCTTTGTTATATTCTACTTCATGACTTACGTGAAGGCACGCTATTCATAATGTCTGACTTACGTGAAGGCACACTATTCATAATTTATGACTTACGTGAAGGCACACTATTCATAATTTATGACTTACGTGAAGGCACGCTATTCATAATGTATGACTTACGTGAAGGCACACTATTCATAATGTATGACTTACGTGAAGGCACGCTATTCATAATGTATGACTTACTTGAAGGCACGCTATTCATAATATATGGCTTACGTGAAGGCACACCATTCATAACTTATGACTTACGTGAAAGCACACCATTCATAACTTACGTGAAGGCACACTATTCATAATGTATGACTTACGTGAAGGCACGCTATTTATAATGTATGACTTACGTGAAGGCACACCATTCATAATTTATGACTTACTTGAAGGCACGCTATTCATCTCTTTATCAATCATCCTCTGTTGCCAGAAAGATCTGAAGGGGGCAATGCCTGTCCCAGGGCCTATCATGAGGATAGGAAGGGCAGGATTTTCTGGCAAGTGGAAAGCAGGGGCTCTGAAAATAGAACATTGGACCATAAAAGTATGGACATTTGCTACAAGAATATTGTACCATATAGTTACGGAAGTCTGCTAAAATAGTTTATTGATAAGTAAAGTAAGACTTCTATTGAAATCGAATTAAATGTGTAAATAGACATTTATTAGATGAAACATTATTGCGGGTGTAGGCCTACTGGGGTGTGTTTCTTTAAACTAGACAAAAAAAAAAAGCCCAGATACTTGTTTCTCCCCAGCCTGAAGCAAGTAACATTAACAGCTGAGTTTGACTCAGGAATGTCCTACATACCCAAATAAAGATTGGAACTGATCTTATCCAAACACATCAATAGTTAAATGTGGTTTCATTTAAGAAATAAAGATCAACTCACGCTCTAACTAAACAAGGCACAACTGTACCGACTGAACATCTGTTCATCCAACCAGAACACACACCCTCATGGACTGGTCCAGCGCCATCTGGTGAAGAAGACGTCATACTAAAATGCTCATATACATACGTTTTCACACCCTTGTGGGGGTGGGGGAGGGGGAATAGTATCCCACTACTTTTACGACTTTGTCTAAAGAAAAAAGCACTATTACAAACTGTTGAATTTTTAAAAAAATCTTTTTACTTTCGTAGAAGCGTCGATCTATTTGTAATGGTTAAATTTTAAAAAAAAAGTTATTTAGATGTACCTTGTATAATATTAATAACAGCAATACTGAATTAGAATTACATTGTGTCCTAAACTTGACCACAACAATTTGTGATTTACCTTGTGTACTAAACTTGACCACAGCTATGGTGATTTACCTTGTGTCCTAAACTTGACCACAGCTATGGTGATTTACCTTGTGTCTTAAACTTGGCTACAGCTATGGTGATTTACCTTGTGTCCTAAACTTGACCACAGCTATGGTGATTTAGATTTACCTTGTGTCCAAAACTTGACCACAGCTATGGTGATTTACCTTGTGTCCTAAACTTGACCACAGCTATGGTGATTTACCTTGTGTCCTAAACTTGACCACAGCTATGGTGATTTAGATTTACCTTGTGTCCAAAACTTGACCACAGCTATGGTGATTTACCTTGTGTCCTAAACTTGACCACAGCTATGGTGATTTACCTTGTGTCCTAAACTTGACCACAGCTATGGTGATTTATCTTGTGTCCTAAACTTGACCACAGCTATGGTGATTTACCTTGTGTCCTAAACTTGACCACAGCTATGGTAGCTTACCTTATGTCCTAAACTTGACCACAGCTATGGTGATTTACCTTGTATCCTAAACTTGACCACAGCTATGGTGATTTACCTTGCGTCCTAAACTTGACCACAGCTATGGTGATTTACCTTGTGTCCTAAACTTGACCACAGCTATGGTAGCTTACCTTATGTCCTAAACTTGACCACAGCTATGGTGATTTACCTTGTATCCTAAACTTGACCACAGCTATGGTGATTTACCTTGCGTCCTAAACTTGACCCCAGTGATGGTGGCTTACCTTGTGTCCTAAACTTGACCACAGCTATGGTTATGGTGATTTACCTTGCGTCCTAAACTTGACCACAGCTATGGTGATTTAGATTTACCTTGTGTCCTAAACTTGACCACAGCTATGGTGATTTACCTTGTGTCCTAAACTTGACCACAGCTATGATGATTTACCTTGTGTCCTAAACTTGACCACAGCTATGGAGATTTACCTTGTGTCCTAAACTTGACCACAGCTATGGTGATTTACCTTGTGTCCTAAACTTGACCACAGCTATGGTGACTTACCTTGTGTCCTAAACTTGACCACAGCTATGGTGATTTACCTTGTGTCCTAAACTTGACCACAGCTATGGTGGCGTGGATCTCCCCCTGGTACATCAGCAGGGAGGAGCTGATGCTGTAGTAGCGCTGCTGTAGCAAGGGCAGCTGGGTCAGCAACAAAGATGGCGGCACTTTAAGTGAAGAGAACTGGTCCAAGACTTCCAGTAAGTTTGGGCTCAGGTCATACTTCCAGTCTTCATAGGCTTTGGAATCCTAAATTTGGATCGAAAACTTTTTTAAATATCTGGAATTTTTTATATAAAGTAGAAAATATTACTTCAATTGTATTTCAAAGTAGGCCTTTTAAAAAAATCTAGGCCTATTTCATAAAAATTACCCTAATACTTCATTCAGAATAATTTAGAGTTAGAAATATATATTTTAGTTAAAATGTTGCAAATTAAGTTTGCAAATTGCAGGTTATTAAAATGTTATGTTTTTTTTTATTAAACAAATCCATATCAACTGTTTCAAATCCATATCTACTGTAATTAAATTTTTTTAAAAAGAATGTTACTGTGGCCAGATTTTCCAGCCTCTCCCTGTCAACATCTCCGGTTGCCTGTGTGGCCAACAGTTGAAGCAGTGACTGGGAGGGTGGGGTGGTGATGTCCAGGATGTAGGTGAAGGCAGACCTCATGCTACACACTGGCATCTTCTCAAACTCTGCCCAGGTCTTGTTAGTACCTGACACACACAATACATCGTACTGTTATTTATTTTATCTGACAAATTCAGCCCACTTCTTGCTTACTTTTTTCTTCCAGCCATCTCTTCGGGGAGGGGGGGGGGGGGAACACTGGTCTTACTAGTACCTAACACACATAAAACATGTATTCAGTTATCTAATTACCAGACCTATCATAAAAAACGGATGAAATTTCACTTTAAAATGGAATGGAAAGCATAGCTTGGTACATTAGCTTACATTAGCTCACTGTTAGGCTTAGTAAATGCCACAACTACGGCTTGTGTTGTAATAGGGATAGGTTAAGCTATTATGGGTCTTAAAGAATCATATATATTTTTGTCTATTCGGGCATTTGTCGCATTCGGGCAAGATCCTAATCGTGAAAACCGCCCTCGGTAGTTGTCTTTTGGTAAAAAGCCCACCTTCCTTTACCACAGCTAAGTATATTGGTATTAACCAATACAGACCATCTAGGCCTATACGTATTATATAACGACATTCAACAATACAGAACTTCAAAAACAACTATGTAACTGGTTTTGAACTATACATGTTATATAATGTTATTGAACAATATAGACATCTACAACAACGTATACTGATATTGACCAACAGCTGACTATCCATGAGACTACCAGGCGTGCAGACATACCTAAGGGCGTGACAACTTCATGCAGAAACTCTGTGCGTATAACTTGGTCAGGAGGGGGAGCATTGTGAAGCCTGGCCAGAATAGCATCCACCAGTTCTGGAGCATTAGCAGGAAAAATGCCAACATGGTCACCTGGTACATACAGCAGCTCAGAGGCACCTTGTGTGTTCAACTTTACTAGAATCGTCTGGCGGCTGGGAGGGATACGTTCATTAATTTAAAAAATATATATATAAAAAACCTTTGTAGCAACAAGCTTTTAAATGCACTGAAAATAAGAAAATATAACTAATTTGATTTCTTTAATAAAAGCTTTTGTAACTAAAGTATATAAAAAGAGTGATGTAATTTCCCCCCCCCCCTCCTTAGATTCAAAATCGTTTAATTAATTTTAATGACTGTTTAAATATCTAATTAAATTAAATTCTAGATAGACTTGTATTCTCATTGAAGAGGAACGTTTCTTGAAAGTTTTAACAAAATCGCTGCATTAGAAGTGGGTGAACATTGAGTTACAATATTTGCCACAAACCCACAAACAAACAAACATATTATGTTGCAAACTAAATAAAAGCTTGTAAAATCCTAATCGTCCTTGGACATATTAAAGTTTCTATCTCGATAAGCCTTGTCTGCTGGCTACGGTTGATAGAGATCCGTAGTTCATTGTTAAAACATGTCCTCATCGGACAAAGCCAATTAAAAACTTCCAACTTCGCTTGAATGAGAATGATACATTAATAGCTAAAATAAGCTAGCCTATATAGCCAAATTATTATTTTCTCAAATAGTGTGGGATCACAAAATAAAACAGAATATTTTTTTCCTATTGTGTCGAATTATAGCTTCAGTGTGACTTGCATTTCTGCTGACAGAAAATACAATTAAAATAAAACAGTCTAAACCTTCAGGGGCAACCTAGAGCTTATCATTGGATAGCGTTGTCAACTGACTGAAAGTGATGAAATTATGTAAAAATAAATCGACGATCCTTTGGCTGTTAATAATTTTACGATATTTATAAAATCTCATTTTGAACTTACTCAGAATCTGAGGCTTGTAGTTGTATCCTTTCTTTCAATATACAGGGAAGCACTCGTTTGCTATGAACTTTAGATAGAGCTTCAAAACAATCAAAGGCTAATTTATTATTTGTTATGATTCAACATAAATATTGCATAATGTTAGCTAAAACATGTCTGTGATTGTATTTTATGTCACGTCAATAAAAAAAAAATGAGAAAATACATCCACATGTGATTTAGCAGTCATGATGAAGAAATATACAAAATAACATATTCATGGCGTTAAGAAATTAGATTTAGAAGCAGTGATAAAGAATGATAAAAATAGTACATGCCTTTGTCATGAATTAGAAATGTGACTTAAAGCAATGAAGAAGAAAAATTGATACAGTACCTTCACAGATAATATATGGCTCAGAAATGTTATTCACAAGCAGTGATGAAGAAAGACAAAAACGTTACCTTCACACATGTCTGGCTCCTTGCCATTGTCCACTGGTGTAATCCTAAACCTGTTGGGCAGCCAGCTGTGGTCACTGTTGTTTAGTGCACCTGTGGCTTCACTGATGTTCACATCATCACCCAAACAGAATGTGTCGCATGCAGCCTACAGTAATTCATTGAATGTTTCACATACAGCCTACAGTAATTCATTGAATGTGTCACATACAGCCTACAGTAATTCATTGAATATATCGCATACAGCCTACAGTAATTCATTGAATGTGTCACATACAGCCTACAGTAATTCATTGAATGTGTCACATACAGCCTACGGTAATGATGGTCATAAAATGTGTTGTATTACATACATCAATTATGTTCGATAAACATGTGTTCATTTGATTTGGTCTAAACAAATCGTTAAAAATTATGTGGGAATAATGGATTGAATACAAGTTTATAGTCTTATTTACAAAAACTTTTTGAAAGAAAATAATGTTTTAAAATATCTTCATCTTCTTTTATTTAAAAAAAACCTCCAACCATTTAATAACAAGGAAGATAACACATACCTTAAAAACTCCCTCAGCCCAAGTCCTAAAACTCTGTTCCTGACCACAGAGTTCATCCCCTTCTCCAACTGGGAAAATTCTCTCAGCCCCCAAATCATGGAGGGTGTTGTCAATGTAGTGGCCAAAAGCAGCGAAATGTGGATAAGCCTTAGACCCCAATGCAAATACTGAATATCTGTAGAAATCAGTAAGAATTTGTACCAAAAAGAACAAACTATTTGTTTATTAAATCTGTAATGACAGCCAGTTTCTAATGCAAGGTAGTGGAAATTAAAAACCCAGGTGAAATAATAAATGGAATTTGGTTTGATAAATGATAAACAAAAATTATACTATCATTCAACAGTTAAAGAAAAGAAAAGCATTTAAAAATCAAAGATTATTTTTCTTCAACTATAGAAAAAAACTAATCTTAATTTACTCCCCTCATTTATTAGTAATAAGTTCTAAATCCAGATACAAAGAGTAGCAGCTTTGTCATCTAAATATACCCTTTAAGTTGCTCATACAATGAAACGCCCCCCTTCCAAATATCCTTTGATGAGACCAAAAAATATTAAATTTACATAGAAAATATATACTTAAAATCACTCTTATAATGGCCTGATTGTTGAACAATCTAGTCAGTAAACCAACTTTTTTGTGCAAACAGATATAGACAAATACTGATACATCAGAACAGCCAAAGGTAAAATCTACAAACACAGAGATAATAGTTTTCACACACAAAGAGTTACCTAACATTGCCCAGTGGCCCAGTGACCATAGCAAGAGAATCTGCAGCACTATTTAAATCTTCACTGTCCAGTCTGACCTCTTTCTCACTGGAGATGCTCATTCTAACGTATGAAGAATGTGACCTGGTCCCAGTTATGTCCCTGAAATAATAACATTCAAGTACTGATTTAACCCTTCATTTCATGAATTAATTTTGTGAAAGCTTTTTGAGAAAAAAAAACATCTTACAAAGTAGGCTGTGGTGTGTAGAGAGCTTAAATAATGGGGAGATTGAATTATTTTATCAAATAATGTTTATTTTGCAAAATTACAGTATGTAGCAATATTGCTACAGTATGCAACGGTATGTAAAATATGTTAAAATAGAAAAAAAAAGATTAATCGTTTATATAGGAAATTTATTGAGTAATTATTCATCCAAAATCTGGAGCATCAGAAATTCATTTACTAGATAGCAATATACATTTTTTGCAAAATATTGCTATTACCAGTTATGTCATATATCTTAGTAATCATGCATCTTTTTATTGTGTCAGTCAATAAGTTGCCCCAGTTTGCTCAGCAGGACCTCTATCTAGTTTAATTTGAAATTGTTATTGTTTTAAAAGCAAAGTTGTTTTCAATGACTCAAACTTGTTGACAGGAAAAAAAAAATTATAATATATCTACAATGCTGATATCTGGCCATTATAAGAACTTTTTCCTGTGCAATGAAACCAGAGACATGACTGTTAGAAGCCAATAAATTGATTTATATCTGCTATATCAAAGACTTCAAGCTTTATCTGGATACCTCTGTGCAATGTAGATCTAGAACATCTATTTACCCATTATACTAACATAGTCTTTATCCATGGTGTGCAATAAAATAATCTTGAACAGCCGAAAGACCTTGCACTAAAAACTAAGTTGGTCAATTCCTCACAAACACTAGAGACCTTTCATGTGTTTTAGTTAACCACTTGCTCGACTAGGAAATGTAGAAATCAGTATTAATTATTATATCTGTAAAAAATTTAGAATGAATAACAATATACTTTTAATTTTAAGAAACGTTAAAAAAATTAAATTAATTCCAGACATTATGACAAGAAAACAGAAATTTCTAAAGTGCAAGAGACCTATTTATTTATACAAGGCATTTTTTTTTTAGTTGTAGCCTATATTTTTATAAGCAGATGTGTACCAAATAATCAACAAGCATAGCTAAAACATTGATTCAAAAATAATTTATAAAATAGCAGAAGAATAAAAGAAAATATAATGTATGTAAAAACTTTTTACCCATTTATAGTCTCTGACAAATTCATTTCGTGCAAACTTTTAGCAAACGCCTGTGTTTTAACCAAACAAAAATAGTTTGGAAATAGATCAAATAATTTAATACATTAATAAAGAATTATGCAACAAATTTAACATTTTATTAGATGTAATACGTTTTTAAAATGATTTTTTATCAGCAGGGAAATAATGGAGTTTTTTAATTCCCACAATAATTGCCTCCCTTCAAATGAGTTTAAAAGTAATTTCATCATTATCATGTAGTTATCATTTTTTTTTTCATCTGTATTATTTTATGTAGAAACATTTTCGAACGTGTGTAAATTTGACATAAAATCACCGAATAAAATTATTTTCTATGAAATACTTTAAATAAAAATAATAATTTGCCTTTACCCTTTTACAATAATCAAAGAGGTAAAAGTAAAGCTAGATCAAAATTACATTGCCATTAGAGCTAATTTTCATAGAAAATTTTTAATAACAATATTAAATATTATCATATTTAAAATTAAAATTATTTTAAAAATAACCCCTGGTTCCACCCCTTCCTCCTGATGCCAGATTTGACCCAATTACACTCTAATCCTAACGGCCCCTTGGTAGTTACGATATGTGTATGTGAGGTGATTAAAAATATCAACTTAGAAGGACAGGAAAAACGTTCTAGGTCAGCGAAACTTTGTGTAAATAAAAAAGTGGGCTTTAAAAAAATGTCCAAATACCTATTTAACTTAAGATAACTAACAAAAAAAAATGTTAAGTATCAAACAAAAAACGTTAAGTATCAACAAAAAGCCTTGAATATTAAACAAAAACGTTACATTAAAAAAAATAAAACATTAAATATCAAACAAACAAAAAAAAAACGTTAATTATCAAATCAAAAAAGTTAAGTATCAAACAAAAACCCGTTAAATATCAAACAAAAACGTTAAGTATCAAACAAAAAACGTTAAGTATCAAACAAATAAAGGTTAAGTATCATACAAAAAACGTTAAGTATAAAAAAAACGTTAAGTATCAAACAAATAAAGGTTAAGCATCGAAATTAAAAACGTTAAATATCAAACATAAAACGTTAAGTATCAACAAAAAACCTTGAATATCAAACAAAACCATTACATATTTAAAAAGAATACCGTTAAGCATCAAACAAAACCGTTGAGAACAGTGAAGACATTCTCACCTCCCCATTCTCAGGAGGATCCCCGTTACCAAATGTACTGGAGATAACAATCACTAGGGACTCGTGTTCCAGAGAGTTCACATCATAATCCTCCATACAAAGTACCTGAAATCACATGAACAAATACCACGTCAAATACAGAATACAATACAGTACCATTCTTTTTTTTATTCCATTGAATGCTTTAACCCAGCGTGCATTACAATTTCCCAGTTGTATGATGAAGAAAAAAAAAACAATATTTTTGTACCTTAGCATCAAATGCATGTTTAAATATTGCACCCAATGTTTTGGCAAATTTCTCAGATTTTCCAGTTTCTGTATCAAATAAAATTTTACACTTGATGCGTTTTGCCAGCGCTATCTTCATTAGTTTACTGGAGAACTTGACAGCTCTGGAGATGACAGTTGTGTTGACAAGTTAGTAACAAATTACCACATTAAGGTAACAACTATAAAAAAATGAATCATATTATATAAAATTAATTTGATAAGTGATGAGGAAAATATTTTCAGTTTAATTTGTATTTATATCATAAAAACACAATTCTTAACATATTTTTCTTACCTTGAAGTCATATTCAATTTGTGAATATATGTACTTGTTTTATAAATATTGCTCTTTTTATAATTTCCGCCTTTGTTCTTATCTTGTCGTATGTATGTTTATTTTATAAATCAAGATATTTATAATAATGATATAAGCTACGTATGCTGCCTTGTTCATAATTTTAATTAATTTATGTTTTTTATAATAAACTTCTTAAATTCATATATTTAAAATAAAGTTGTATTCCTACTTTTTACAAATTTATGTTATTTTAATTAACATCTGTGTTCGTATTTGTGCAAACATCGCTGCTAACTTTAATAATGTAGTTGCACATAGTTGTTTATTAGGGCTCATGTTTGTATATCTGGATTCATGTATGTATATTTGGGCTCATTTTGCTACCTTGCTAGTTCTTTAAATCCTAATCATCTCTTGGGTTTGTCTGTCGATTTTCGCTTGTTTATGTCTTTATTCCAGATATGTGTCTTCCATGCATCTTCCTGTGTGTAATTTAACAGATACTACAGGTAAATACGCATACAAAAAATTCGTTACCTCGCATAAAAATGATATGGATGGTTTTAATTGGCTTTGTTACTAGAATTTTAAATATTCGAGTTCGAATTGCTGGCTCAAGTTTGTAGGACGTCCCTGAGTCCTCCCAGCTCTGATGGGTACCTGACTGGCGTTTGGGAAACAAAGGCTGGGCATATGGCTGACAACATTATATCCTGTCAGCATGCTGAGGAATACTTTATCAACCAAAGGAATCTTGGGCACGGATGGAAAAAGATGAGATATGTCTACTATAGTGATCTACATTTGAAATTCTAATTTCAAGCATTGTGTCTGACTTTGTGTAAAAATAAAATTTAAAAATATATCGACTTGTATGCCAAGAACCTTCCATTTATTACTTGTAAAGACAGTCTAGCATTTAATCCCTATAATGAAATCAACATCACCTTTACCTGATACTCATAAGAAGGTTTCAATTTGTAGAGCAACATCTCCTGGTGGAAAACCTCCAATAGAGAGCCACTCATAGGAGGGACGACCCAGACCCAGTCACTGGGGCAACCACCTCGTAGTTTGTGTTCTTTCTCCATGTGTTTCATGAAGGACTCGCTGGCCGCGTGGTGGTCAGTGATGGTCACTCGACTCGTCTGAAATAGTTTACATCTATACAGTACTAAAAGTTTTTAAAATACAAAAACACTTAAGCTGAGGTTTGACTTCTTTTAAGATGTGTATGATAAATTTGCCTTTCGGGACTTGCCGGGACAAAGGGCGGTTGAAAGAGTGTTCATCTACTTCTGCGACCCTAGCATATCAAGGGATGATATGGTCAGACCCATGTTCAGCCAAAATCGATGTTTTTAAAAGACAAAACAAATTGTTTCAAGTGTGACTTTTTTCATGTGGGGACTGGCTTTTTGTGACGCTGTATGACAGTAGGGATAAGGAAGCGAAAGATAAAAATCGTAAAAAAAAAACCGTGAAGTTATTTACATATGACCCTGAAATACACAGTTATCCAAGGATAACGGGTAGTCTAGTATAAGTTAAAATTAAATTACGGAAAAGCAATTACATTTTTTGTTCCTGTACTGAAAAGAGTCGATAAGGAGTATCGTTATCAAGAAAGAATAAATAATGGTCCTTATCTCTGTCTGCTTATATGATACTGTAACCTACTATGTTTGTGCATTGTTGTACTGTATTATCCTGTATGCACTGTGAATTAGCACCCTATTTTTTCGGCAATAGTCATGTTCAAAGCATATTGTTTCTTTTAGACGTTTCTCTCTATGGGTAAGAGGACTTAAATCTCTGTCGCACGGGAGTTGGGAAGGGAATGGGGGAAGAGAAGGAGGGAAGAGGGGTCTAAAATTTCCGAAATGAAAATGGACAGACACTGGTTAAAGAATATATTTTAATTATAAATTATATATTTTTTCTATTTCGTCAAAAGGTGAAGAAGAGGTGCGTTTTCATGGTAGCTGGGGGCAGTGCTAATCCCCCGTAGAGATGCCAGAAAGAAACTCTGAATAGCTTTACTATAGGTCAAGACTATGGTACTATATCATCCCGTCTGGATTATGGCTATTTACCATTACATGGTGGGACTATAACACTCTACTATCCTGCCTAGACTATGGTAATCCCACTAAATCATGAAGCGGACAAGATATTGACCTGAAAGCTGTACAGTACAGCCAGATTGACCTCTACAAGAGCCCTGTCCTTCCACAGTGATGAAAACCTCGTTGTGTCCAAGCCCATTTTAGTCGCCACAGTCTGAAAATGATCCGTTTAATGTAAAAATTGAGATGGGGGGGGGGCGAAGGCAGGTTGTATGAAAAAGAATGGTTATTTTAAAAAGCGTCTAAGGAAACAAAACATCAAAAACATCTAGTTTTAGTGTTAAATTATATGTATATGATTCCTAAAACGTCTAGTATTAGTGTTAAAAAGGGAGTCGAAGTTGGCCAGCTCATGGTTGATGAACCGAACAGTCTCGAGTTCGAACCCCCGGTCAGTTGAAGCTCGATAGCTGGAGACAGCAACTCTTCTAGGAGAGCCAACTCCAAAATCAAACAACTGCTGCCTTGTAGTTTGTTCTTGGATGGAAGCAAATCAAAAAGAAAAGCAGGCTGAAATCGGAGTCAATGGCCTTTTTTATGTATAACACGTTGACACGTAATATTTGTGTTGGAGAGAATCAATTCCAACACTAAAATTAAGAACGAAGAAGAAGAACTGTTACATAACGTTGCAGTATGTCTCACAAGGTGACGTGTTGCGCCAAACTTTAGTCCCAACTACAATCCCACGTGCAATCTCAAACATACACTAGAATAATCAGACCTGTGGCTTTAAGTGAAGTCATGGGATGGGGGGGGGGAGTCGGACTAAGAACACTAACGCAGGCGTAGCTTCACATCCTAAACAAAGCGCACAAGAAAAAGTTACCTCCATCAAGGAACTCTTCCAACAAAGCGCACATGAAAAAGTTAACTCTATGACAGAACTCTTCCAACAAAGCGCACAAGAAAAAGTTACCTCAATAACTCTTCCAACAAAGCGCACAAGAAAAAGTTACCTCCATCAAGGAACTCTTCCAACAAAGCGCACATGAAAAAGTTAACTCTATGACAGAACTCTTCCAACAAAGCGCACAAGAAAAAGTTACCTCAATAACTCTTCCAACAAAGCGCACAAGAAAAAGTTACCTCCATGACGGAACTCTTCCAACAAAGTGCACAAGAAAAAGTTACCTCCATAACTCTTTGAACAAAGCGCACAAGAAAAAGTTACCTCTATGACAGAACTCTTCCAGCAAAGCGTACAAGAAAAAGTTAACTTTATGACAGAACTCATCCAACAAAACGCACAAGAAAAAGTTAACTCCATGACAGAACTCTTCCAACAAAGCGCACAAGAAAAAGTTACCTCCATGACAGAACTCTTCCAACAAAGCGCACAAGAAAAAGTTACCTCCATAATGTTGTATCTGTTGGCGTCACAGAGATCGCGGGCTCCAATTTCCGTGCCCATGTACCAGCCGTTAAACGGGCATGCCGGGAATTCCAGACCTCCACAGTCAAACAACATGGCAGAGACGGCAGGTAAGGCGAACCACTTGAGCCCGAGATCAGCAAACCATGAGTACCTGGCATAAATTGAGAGAATGCATTAACTAGTGTGTAGACAACGATTAGGGTGGGGGTGGATATATATATATATATATATATATATATATATATATATATATATATATATATATATATATATATACTAGCGTACCCGTCCCCGCGCGTTGCCGCGGGAATAGAAAATCTGACAAAATATATAAGTAGGGTTTCATCCATGCGTTACCAATCCTATATTCTTCGACTCGTGACCTTGTTTTCAAAAAGTGAGTTATTTAACTGTAATATATATATATATATATATATATATATATATATATATATATATATATATATATATATAATGATGTATAACAATGTTAAATAGAAGTTAATGTATACACAATAGCAAGGTGGTGTTTTAATTATCTCTAGTACAAACTCAGCAGGACAGAACTTGCAGTATACAAAGTATAGAGGAATTATTGTAATCTAGCAAAAAAATCGAAATCGAGATTTTCATAAATCTCGACGTTTTAAACGTCACTGAGTCGGAGAAAACATTTTTGCAAATGTGTCCGTGTGTCTGTGTGTTTCTGTATGTGTGTATGAATGTGTGTATGTGTGTGTGTGTGTCTCTCAACATGATAACTCGAATGCCGATACAGCTAGGTTTCTGAAATTTCATATATAAGTATTATATCAAATTTAAAGTTCTGTATCAAATTTTCAGCGATTGCTGGTAACCGGAAGTTGAACTTATTCTACTTTTAGTTTTTCAAAAGCCTATAACTTGAGCACTGTTTCAGATGATACACGAAATTTCACATGTAAATAAAAGATCTAATGTTCTGGCTTATTTCAAATTTTGAGTAATTTCCGTTGATCGGAAGTAGTAATTTACGCTATTTCCGATTTCTCAAAAAACGCATATGAATTTATAAAGTACTAACAATATTCTGCACTATTATGCACATATTGTTTGCCGTTCACTTGGTGCGCTATTATTTTTTTTCTACGATTTTCTAATCTTTTTTACAAGCTTTTATTTAACTCACTTCCTCGTCAGTCGACAGTCTGTCTGTCTAGACGGAAACGCAGGAGTGAAAATTCGGACAGTTCTACTTGACCGACACGATTCACAGTTGGCACATGGGTCAAGACATGAAGACAATGCAATCTGAAACTAAATTTGACTTAATTGGATGCCTAATTGATTTTTTATGAATTAATTAAAATTTGGACCGAATTAGTAGGCATGTCTAGCCAACCACACCACACGCGTCATCAATAGCTGCGCCATCACGACCACGTAATGGCTGCGTTCAAAAACCATTGCGCGCCTACTGAACGTGATATTCAGAAGGCGCGCAATGGTTTTTAGTCATGTAACTCTATTGTAGATAAAACATGTAATGTACTGAAAAAAAAAATTCATAAAAAACGTTTTAATAACAAGCTTTTATGTAATGATGCACTAAAAAGTAGAAAATAAATTATAGACTACTATTTAAATAACTATAAAGAAAAGCGTGGGTGTCTTCCTTAACATTAGTAAAGGTATCCAATAGATACTAAAGTGACCCACGCTTTTTTTTATAGTTATTTAAATAGTAGTCTATAATTTATTTTCTACTTTTTAGTGCATCATTACATAAAAGCTTGTTATTAAAACGTTTTTTATGAATTTTTTTTAAAAGTTTGAGTAATCAAAAATAGATAAATAATCATGTCTATATCCCGAGTTTGTTTCTATAGTAGTGTTCTATAAGAATATTCGAGAAAGTTTAGGGGAGATCACTCCTGCTTTATTTGTATTATGGATCATGATGAGGATAGTGATTGGTATGGATAGGGACACTGATGGGACCAGGGACAAGGATACAGGCAGGGTTGGGAATAATATCAGGGATGGGGTCAGTAATAGGAGTAGTGTTAGGTTAAAAAAAAAATCTAGGCTAAATCAAGAATTATTTTTGTTATTTGTTCTATAGCCCTAACATGCGAACTTTTTATTATGAAACAGATGACAAAATGTATGTGAGAGAGCAAAAAACTTACTTTGGATGGCGGATGTTGACCTCTACCACAAGCTCGGGAGGAATCTCGAACCACTCGGGATCCGAACCCGCGGCTGACAGGACCAAGGGAAGAATATCAAACATTCCGTACTTGGGCTTCCATCCCAGCTTCACACATTGCTGAGATAACACACGATATAAAATAAACAACGGTAAACTTAGTATAACTTTAACAACTGTTGTCAAATGGGAAAACACACGATTTAAAATAAACAACAGTCGACTCAGTATAACTTTAACAACTTTTGTCGAATGGGACAACACACGATATAAAATAAACAACGGTAAACTCAGTATAACAACTTTATGAAATGGGACAAAACACGATATAAAATAAACAACGGTTAACTCAGTATAAGAATTTAAGTCAAACGGAACAACTTAAAAAAATA